GGGTGCTACAGACTTAACAACTGTGGCTCCTGTCTTTGGGTCCCTCTCCACTTGCACTGTGAGCATTCCCAAAACTGTCAAGTAAAAGAGGAGGACAATAGAAAGTCATTGAAGATGTGAAAATGAAAAAAAACAAGTTGCCTCGCTGCCACCAAGAAGTTCCTCAGTGAATTTTCTCACCGAAATGCAAAAACACTCACTTCAGTGCAACAATGCAATTGGCAATATTCAGTGGTGGCAGTAGTTGATGTTGTCAGTTTTCTTTTTAAATTACTGGTATTCAATCGATATTTTTGTATGCTCTTCCAATGAAAGGTGATTTCAGTAGGGGAGTTTCACAGTGAATCACAACGCCTGTCTGTCTGTTGTGTGCGCAGTTTGGGAAAAAAAAAAAACTCGAAAAGAAAAGTAAGCAAGTAGCGTGTAGGTTTCCTGCGAGAGATAATAGCCCACCCTGAGTCTCACCTGAGCGCCCATCCTTCCCGCTTTCTTGAAATTGTCTTTGTGCCATTGCCAGACTATTTCTTCACTGAAACCAAGAAGACATTCTGATCATAACGTAGTTGCATTACAAGCGTCAATACATCACAAACAGACATTAAGCGTGTTGCCCCACTCTATTGCGGTTCATCCTTCACATGTCATGCTACCTTGCATATGTATATATGTCGAGAGAGAGCGTTTTAAAAATAAACAAACCCATACATCTTACGCCACCATCTCAGCTATGCGCACATCCGTTGGATTCGTGCAACATGCCACCAAGTAAATATAACTTGCCAATGGGACTGAACAGGGGTCTTCATGGGGTTTCAAAAGCTCCGCCCAGGACACTTGAGTCAGGCGTTGACTAACAGGCAGGCGGGCTTGGTGAGAGTCTTTCAGAAATGACATGTGGAGGCATGTGGGTGGTGGGGATGCTCCAAGTTTTCAAGTTTAACTGGAGCCATTTGGAGATGAGGAAGAAAGTCAAAAAAATCCAGGGAAACTGTGGCGTGCTGACGATTCAGCGGGAAATGATCCGACAACAGCTGCATTCAAGTCAGCGACGTGAACCAACAACGATCGCACTGCAAATGGACATTATCATAACACGATATCAATATGTACAGTCATGTGATCCTCCGCTTTTTGCATTCCAGCTCTATCACAGATATTCAAGACACAGATTTTTATGGATTATAATAGTATACAGGCAAGTCTGAATTTCAATCTATTTGATTGATGCAAACCTTTTCATACGGAGCAGGTCTCGAACCGTACTCCTTCCACCTGAAGAGACCAGCCGTATTTAGTGTTACAGATTTTTATGGATTATAATAGTATACAGGCAAGTCTGAATTTAAATCTATTTTATTGATGCAAACCTTTTCATACGGAGCAGGTCTGGAACCGTACTCCTTCCACCTGAAGAGACCAGCCGTTTTTAGTCGTAATGTTGTATGCTGCTTGTATGTGTTGCTGCTCTGTATGTTAAAGTAGGAGTTTTTTGAAGGTTCATATTACTGTAACATCAGTGCCAACTTTTATTAGCATGTCTGTAGCATTTCACAGTGTACGTTAGCATTACAATGACCCCGAGGATTCGACAGGTATTCCCAAATCTTGCTTTTTTTTCTTTACCAGTTTGAAAATGATCAAATCAAATAAATTGACCTTTGTTTCCATACTGTTCCACATCACATATCCGCAAAACATCTGTGGAACCCGCTGAGGTATGTCACCCAGAGATCTGTTTGTCACTTTGCAGTTCGAATTCCAACTGTCACAAGTTAGTTTTGAGATACCCAGCACATGTCAAAGTAATGAAATGGCATTCTTTCGTTAAAAAAACAGCAGCCTGCAAAGACAAGTACTTGCACAAATACTTTAACACCTTAGTTCAATATATGACATACGCTAAGATTTCGTTGACGTTTGAACAAAGTATTTCAACCTACTGTCGGGACTGTCATGCCAAGCCATTAGTACTTACCGCTGAGCATACAAATCCTGTCAGTGGCCGCTTCAAGGAAAACTGCATTTAAAAAAATAAATAAATAAAAATTCAAGAGCTCATATCTCGACTGTTGTAGTGATGGCGGTAGGTTTACACCCAGTGTCAGTCTTACTACGGGAACACCCCTTGACACCCGACAAGAGAAAGCTTCTTTTGCATGTGAAGCAGAAGGGGGTTGGGGGATATTTTTACAAGGCACAACCCGACGGATTAAAGTGGGCCGATACAGCTGGCACAGTGCAGGGATGCCGACGGAAATAGTTCAATGACACGGCTCGTAGTACGCATGCCGACGCTATCTGCACCGATGTAAGCTGTAAACATTCTGCGGCCTTCACATTTTTCATCCCAAGTGAGTCACAGGCGTTTGGACTTTTATCACAGAGAGTTTGACAGAAAGAAGTCAAGAAGAGTCCAAGCACACCCCGAAAACCTTTCACAGAGCACTGATTATTTAGCGGAATACGAACTTCGTCTTGGCACATTCACCTCAGGCAGCGCAGATCAGACGAGTCCAGTCGATGGAAGTGACATCCCCAAATGTTTGTACGCTCCGCTTATTTTGACATGAGTTGAAATTTGACATTGGTTAAGGCACACTGAAGACAACTGTCAAAGGGCTGAAAAGAAGGCAAGAGAGCTGTAAGGTGAAGCCAAGGTTTACTTGAGCGTTGGTGCTCTTGAGCCAATACATTCGATCTAAAACGTATTTATAAAATCTATCGATTAAAACTGAACCACCTCTCGAGTCAAAATGACCTGCACACATGCAATCAACAGACGTGCACGCAGGTTTTATACCTTTGGGATATTAGCTGGTGTCCTTTTGTTAGGATAGAGCTTTTGACAAGGACAAAAAAAAAATTTTTTTTGGTGTGTTTTTGGTTTGTTCGACTCCTTGTTTGGGTTTCATTATTTTTAACTAAGTACCAAAGTGAGAGTGAATGAATTTCTTTTCTTCCAAGTTGGAAGTTTTTTTTTGCTGCAGCAAGGAGGAGGAGTAAAAAATATTCCGTTTTACAAACAAATTGGTCACGTCATACCCAGTCTGACTCACTAATCAGGGATTGAAGCTGTTGCCAAAACACTCGATGCCGTCTCTCGGGAAATGTGCAGGCTGGTGATCGATACGCAGCACATTCCTCACATGCATAACTTGCACCCTTGAACCTTCTTCATGCTGGCATCCAGGCAATAAAATGGCAGCCCACTTTAGCGGCACCTGTTTTCACGGTAGTGTCCCGGCCTTTGTCAGATGTTTTCAGGCCAATAGCTTGTACACGGGAAGTGTATTGTCACTTATGAACGGGAAAAAGTCAAGGTGACTTCTACATAATTACAACATAAAATAAATGCAGGAATAAATTGCACAAACTTCAAAACAAAATGTTGTCGTAGATAGAAATGTCTATTGAACTTCCCCGAGTATTCCTTGGACCGCAGTGAGAAACATCAGCCATGCCAGACAACAAGTATCACATCTGTCCAAAACCAAGTTTGCTCGTACTTCATTTTCACAGCCTGCCTACAGCCGTATGTCCCTGAGACCAAAAATTCACATCTCTTCTTTTCCATTTTGAGAAGAATGAACATAATTAATGGCAATAAAAATGTACATGTAGGATGACAGCAAAAGTCCTTGTGATCAAGACACACCGCTGGGATTTTTTTCCCTGTTTGAATATGATGAATATACAGTACACTTATTAAGAAGGTCACTGACAACCCAGGAGGGAACTGCTATCTTCTCATGGCAGCCACTGCATGCACACACACACACACACACACACACACACACACACACACACACACACACACACACACACACACACACACACACACACACACAAATCCGTGTGCATACTTATATACCACCCCGGAGTGAATGCGATTATGATACTGTATGCCGCCTGGAGCTTAATGAGATGAGAAATGGTGTTTTCTTGATGTTTGGTTGGCACTGATGTTGCAGTTTCACAGATGCACAACCTCATTCCCATAATGTGTAAGGCCTGTAGAAGCAGGCTCAAGTGAAGGATGTTAGAAAGACGATCATCGACGTGTGACTCGGAGACACGTTTCTAGCTTAATGGTCTGATGTCGAAAAGAGCGCCGCATTACAAACTAGGCAAGAAGAAGACTTCAAGAGTAAGGTATGAATGAAAGAATCCAAATGGAATGAAATGAATGAATTGAATTTCATTCAGATTGACTCTACAGGAACAGGTGTCCCCATAAGGCATGTGTCCCTTTAAGACAAGTGTATCCATAAAACAATGCACGAGTCCCCTTAAGGAAGGTTTCCATTAAGGCGGTACAAGTTTCTCAATGAGGCGGGTGTCCCCACAAAACAGGTGTCCCTATTAAGGCAGGTGTAACCATAAAGGATTGCAGGTGTCCCCACAAGGCAGTGTAGGTCTCCCTACATTGCATCAAGAGAACATGTAAAATACAGTCTGGAGAGAACAACAAAGAACATTATAGGATAACCACATTGCATTTTGGCAACACCCCTCAATTCCGAGAAGATCTTAAGCAATTGACCTCAGAACAATCTCCTCGTGTACCTGTCTTATCACATTTACATAGCTACTAGGAATGTGAACGTGAGAGTTTCTATTCCTTTCAGGCCCCTTCTACATGTCAGTCCGTTTTATTGGAGTGCAGTTGCCATCCTGCAACACACAGATTGTGAGGCACAGCGTGTGTGTTCCCATGTCTGTGTCAAGGCCTGAATGTGGGCTGATGTCAGTGCAACTTCATCATTGAGTCAAATCAGCATCAAAGCTTCGGCACACAAAGCTGCTGCAGATGGCTGCGACGCGCTTCCTCGCCTTGTTTGTCACAGCAGCTCTGTCAAACACTCGTTAATTAGAAGGAAGCGATGACTCGCTAACAGTTTTTAACTCTTTCCATCTCCTCTTAACCCGTGTCCTCAAGGAACAAACCAATGCAGCATAAAGTTGCACACTGGGGCATGCAACATGGAGACCGGACTTGCTCTCATATTCCCTCTCGAATGCTCATAGAAAGAGATGGGCTTCAAACGAGTCTCAAAATAGATTGCATTCTCATATTGATGGCCGTCATCTTTTGACCATTTAATCATTTCTATCAGATCGCATGACTCCTCGCTCACAGTTCAGTGCTGGAACCTTTTTGCAGAGTGGGCAACCGATTGCATATTGAACATTTGAACGAGCGGACAATATCTCCATAAATGTGAATTTATGAGCCCCCGCTTGACCATATTAGTGGCAGACTCAGTCTCCTAAACGGTCACCTTAGGATGGAGTAATGAATCCGTAATCCGTAGCCTGATCCGTTATGCAGAGGAAGAGAAATGAGGAAGAGGAGTTGTAATGGAGAAAGCAAACATACTTTACAAACTACTTGCGATACGGTGGGGATCGGAACAATATTTGCCAAGAGGCTTTTCTGCTGAAGTGGTATTCGAGTTTGTATTGCTCATTGTATCGACAAAAAACACTTCAGATTCATTTGTGGATTAGAACGCATGAAAGATTCAATGTGAATCCCCGTCTCCCACTTTCCCCTTTTCATCATTCGCCCCCACTTCCGGATGGCCCACCTAATGAGGCGCCCCCGCTTCAGCATGTGGGTGCGTTACAGTCAATCTCAGCAGCCCAGGGCACCAAGCGCAACGCTTGGATCATTGTGTGCTCCATTTTTGAAGGCT